AAACTCCCACAGTTGCTCGGCGCAAAGATGATATCAAAAGTGATACTGGTACCACTTTCTTGGTACATCAACTTGAAGCTTGCCTTTCAACACTCCTCCTCGTCGACACTGTCCTGACAAAACACTTGATCCTTGCTCTGTCATCGTCGACTCCGATCGATTATTTTAAACCGATCACTTGACGCATCTCGACCAATCTCGGTGCAGCCAATGCCTTTGTTAGTATGTCCGCAGGAATACTCGAAGTTTCTCGATATTCAGGCTTTATGATTCCTCGCGTCGCGAAATCACCGACAAACTTGATGCGCACATCAATGTGTTTGGCCTTAGCCGAAGCTCTCTCACCGTCAAGTTGTTTCAAAGCCGCTTGGTTATCCACTCGCAGTGGTATAGGCTCTTCAAATCTCAAATCTAACTCTTGCAACAGTTCGCGAATGCCTAAAAGTTCTCGAGCCATAATGGATGCAGCTGTAAACTCAGCCTCCATGGTCGAAAGTGATACACCGCCTTGCTTCTTGCACATCCAGATCACTGGCATGCCATCAATCGTAATTAAACCACCCGTGACAGATTTTCTGTCACCTTTGTCGGCAGCGAAATCCGCATCACTGTACCCAACCACTTGTAACAGCTCTGGTTCATCTTCCCTTCCAATCATAGAAAGTCGCAATGTCTTCGTGCCAGATAGGTACCTTGCAATTTTCTTGGCCAACTTATAATCTCCCATCGTGGGCTTATGAGTCCTTCTTGACGCTTTATGCACCGCGAAAGCGATATCTGGTCTGGTGCAACGCGAAATCCATAGTAAACTTCCCACAAGTGACTGGAAAACTTTCACCGTAACCACACCATCTCCTCCAAATACCGGTAGCGGCACAGCTACCGATTCTTCATTATCGTTCCAGTCTTGAGTAATTGGAACACGCACGCTATGTCCCATTTCGAGACCATGCTCCTTCAGCATGTCCATAATTCCAACTTCTTGATCAAAAGTGTACCCATTTTCGTCATTGTATTGAATATGCATACCCAAAAACTTGCGAGCACATCCAAGATCCTTGACCGATAGTGAATTGAGCTCATCAAAAAAAGAATTTACAGAACCCTGATCACTTCCTGTTACCAGAAGGTCATCCACATAAACTCCAACAATCAATAGATGACCATGTGTCCATCTAAAGTAGACACACATGTCCGTGAGACTTTGTTTAAAACCAATATCAACCAATTTCTGGTGTAGCAATTTACTCCATAGTCTTCCTGCTTGTTTTAATCCATATAGTGCCTTCTTCAGCTCCAAAACAATCTCGTTGTTTTGTGAAACACCGATCTTCTTCTTTAAGTCCTCTGCAATCTGCATGCCCTGTGGTACGTGGATGTAGATATCGAGATTATCTTCCTTGTCTGCTTTAACGTAAGCATTTGGAACATCTCCATGCTTCGCAGGCGCCTTCCACTTTCTTGCCAGTGCGAAAATCATCTTCACGCTGGACATATCAATCACAGCAGCAAACGTAACTCCATAGTTCACTCCAAAGACTTGTTCATTTCCACACGCGACCAATCTCGCCTTCAATCTCTCGATGCCACCTTCTGCGTCACGCTTCGTCTTAAAAACCCACTTCGAGTGAAGTGCTCGAATATCTTTTGGAGCCTTCATAATACTCCAAACTCCATTGTTCTCCAAGGCTTGCAATTCTTCAGAAATTGCCTTCATCCATCCTTCCTTGTGACTGCTACGCATAGCTTCACCAAAGTTTCTCGGGTCAGATGTTGTGACAACATTGACAACGTCAGTATCCATGGCTGAACTCTCAGTTCTTTGTCCCTGGCTTGAGCGTTTATTCTTGCTCGCCGATCTTGTCACAACCTTCTTCTTTCTTGTCCACGGAGTCCTTTTCTCCATATTCTGTGTCTGGTCCTTACGACTCGTCGCCTCCTCCAGATCTTGATATCTGGTATTACCTCCCTCCTGAACTTGATCTCGCGCGGAGTCATTATCTTCCAGACTGGTAGGATTCTGCAGATACAATTCTTGAACTTGCTTGTTCTGGGTCTTGTTCAGTGTCTCAATATTTTGAACATGCTGCGAGACAACAACCACTTTATCCTTCGGCAGGTATACACGATACCCTTTGGTTTCTTCATCAATGCCAATGATAATCCCTTTTTGTCCTCTAGGAGCAAAATTCTTCTTCTTAGGATCTCTGTACACTGTACATGGTGATCCAAAAACGACAATTTCACCTAGCGACGGGGTCTGGTCCGTCAGCACCTTCATCGGTGACATTCGCTCAGCATTCGAATTTGTAGGGGCCCGGTTCAAAATATAAGCAGCATATTCAACCGCGTCACCCCAGATATTGAGTGGCAATCCTGACGCAAATATCATGCAACGGGCCATATTCATGATGGTCCGATGCATGCGCTCAGCCTTTCCATTGCTGGCTTGGTTTCTTGCTTCACTTCGCTGTCTTGCAACGCCCGACTTCTTGCAGCATAAATCTACATTCTGGTACTCTCCTCCTGAGTCCGTGCGAAGAACGTGCACACGACAATTAAATTTTTTCTCGAAAAAAATCAGAAAATCTTTAAATTTCTTTGCTGCAGCGTCTTTAGTGCGAGCAAGAAATACACGACAATAATTACTCTTATGATCAACGAAGTTGATCATATAGCGATTATTTAGCCGATCCTTTGGAGTCATCGGGCCCTTGATGTCCGAACAAATAACACCTCCAATCCTGTCAATAGGTGAGTGTTGCCCAGAGTCGTGCCTTTGCTGTTTGTTCTTGGTCTGTTTGCCTTGTGAGCAAGTGTAACAAAAGTCGCGACGCTTGTCCGTAAGCAAAAAATCACAATAGGGATCTGTAGCCAATTTTATTATCGTTTCGTAGTTTAAATGGCCAAAACGCTTGTGAAAGTCCATTAAACTGCCTTTTTGGACAGCGGAAGACACTTGGACACTTGCTTCTTCACCCAAGACCGCCATAATTACTCCAATCGGTTCAACATCGTTATCCATCACTCGACACGGCACCACAAGAACGTTACCAACCAATTGAACATCAAAAGCCACAGCTCCAGTAACTGTATTGGATATAACACGTTGAGTTCCATTGTATCCAAGTGTGTAACCCTTTCGGTCCAAGATTCCATACGAAATTAAGTTATGCTTCACACCCTCAGCAAAGTATACATCTGTAAGAGTCAGCACACGCTCAACTCCACAAGCCAAGACGTTAATTGTCACAGTGCCTCTTTTGCTTATAAGAAGCGGCTGTCCATCGGGTTGATGACAAACCCCTTCACACGAATCGACGTTGTGAAGCCACGACTCATCACTGACCAAGTGTCTACTGGATCCGCTATCCAAGATCCAGACATCGTCTTGTTGACTTGAGACTTCATTCACAGCAAGCGACAAATTTGTTCGAGGCCCTTGTGGTCGCTTGCGTTTCGGACACGCTCCCTGCAAATGTCCAACTTCGTGACAAAATTGACATCTACGCGTTTCCTTGCGTTGTCGATCGGAAACAGAATTAACGACTTCTCTTGTGCTCACTTTTTCTCGCCCGAGAGTTCTTTCTCTCCCAGTGTGTAACTCATACGCTTGCGCAAAGTGAGCGAGCTGTTCTGCTTGTACCAGGTAGTCCGTTCTCGTGTGATCAACTTTTGCCAGTAAAATTATTCGCATAGCCTCAGAGGCGTATTGCACAATATTGTCCAGAACCAAATAATCACCACCGTTTCCACAAACTTCGGAAATTGCCGACAAATACATGTAATGTTCTGGCCAACTACGGTTCGGGTTCTTACGTTGCGTAAAAAGTTTCATCGCTTGGGCCGGTGTTATACTTGTCTTGAATGCTTCAAGCATTTTCTCCATTACGTACTGCAAAGTGGGTAATTGACTCCACCACATCGCAACTTGTCTGTTATAGTATCTCTCTGCAGTCCCAGAGAGATACAAACCAAGCAAATCCACTTTCACATCTTCAGGCCATTCAAATCCACAAGATGACTGCGCCAAAGAAATTTGTCGCTCGAATCTCCGACCCCACTCCAAGAATCCAGAACCAAGTCCTTCATACAGTTCGCTTCCATCAAACGGCCGAATGCCGAGCTTCTTTTGCCTTGCATCAGGATATCGCACTTGAAGTATATTTCCTTCTGCATGACCGTATCCATTTAAGTCGGGATGTTGCATGTACCCATGTCCTCCAGCTTGGGGCAACATATCAGGAATTCCAAGTCCTGGTGCAACTTGACCGCGAACGTCCTGGCTGGGTCCATTATATTCGGGCTGTCCAGCACCAAACGACATCTGCCCTTCAACCGGTCTCCTCGGAGTAAATACCGGCGCACCATTGGACCCTTCCAAGTTGTCCATGTGCATTCTTGTTCCACTTCCCAAAGCCGAAACAAACAAACTTGAATGTCTAGGCGGAGTCATAGGCGCGTCCCTATGTCTTCCACGCCCTTCCTCAGCTTTTATCAACCTTGTCTGCGACTCCTCTAGCCTATCCAGACGTTCGATTATCCCTTTCATCAGCACCAGGAGCTCTGACGCGTCGTCACTCCTGGTAACAGCATTGTCCACCGCATGGACAACACCTTGCTTGCTCTTCTCTTCATAATCTTCATGCTCACTGACCCTTTCGTGACCAGTGGCAGGGGCTGCTTCCGCATACGCGCCGTCGCGCGTGTCACCCCTGAGTGCCCCGTGCTTTGGGCTCATAACCTGTTAGAAGTCAATACACAAAGGTAGAGACAGAGGACACACAATTAAATGCAAAAGAGAGAGTGTTATTAGTTTCGTTATCTCCTGGCTAGCTATCAAATCCTTTCTGCAGAAGAAATCATAAAATGAAACTCCCACAGTTGCTCGGCGCAAAGATGATATCAAAAGTGATACTGGTACCACTTTCTTGGTACATCAACTTGAAGCTTGCCTTTCAACAGATGTCCTTCACTTTGCTCCATCTGAACAATTCCTCATGTTAGACGCCAAGCAAACGACGATTAAGATCAAGTACAAGGGCGAGCTGCACCCCCTGCGCGTGGACCTCACGTCGCTCTCGCTCGAGGCCTATGCAATGCTCTTTGCAGAGACGTTTAACCTTGCGCCCGGCAGCTTTATGGTGCAGCACACGGACGTGAAGGGCGCCAGCTAGAACGTTACGTCGCAGGTCGAGTACGAGGAGGCGATTCAAGCGCTTGCGCCGGCTGCGGCCAGCGCCACGTCGGTGCACTTTATAGCCCTGAGTAGTCGCCCGGCTGTCGCTTTTCAAGATAATGTGGTAGTGCCGATCCTCGAGGGTACAAGGAAGCTGGTGGGGACGCTTATTGTAGCCATGAGAAAGGTCAAGCACGACAAGTGGTCGAAGAGGCGCAGCAAACGGCGCAGACGGGGCTGGAATACATAAAGAGGCGATTATAAGGTGGTCCAGGACGCACGAGAAGCTGGCGAGGCAGAGCGCATGAGTATTCAGGAGCTGCCGTTTGACTAGCTCATTAAAAATATGACGGGAGGTCTGAAGTGTGCGGCCAAGGGCATTGACGAGCTTGCCAAGGAGGTGGTTGTCGAGATTAAGTAAATGGCACCGGTCCAGGTGGATGTGGCACCATTTAGGAAACGCCACGGTAGTCTACAGTCACTGTAGTTGTCGAAAAGGCAACTAAGGCGCCGATGGAGGCTGCAAGCGACAGCGAGTGGGAGCTGGTGACGGAGCAGGACCGGACATTGGCTCCGGTGGAAAAGGCGCCTGTTGTTGTCGATTTTGTGTTGGCCGGACCAATTGTGGTTGTTGTCCGATCGTTAATGCGCTGGTTGTTGTGAAGCTGGTGGTTGCTGCTCCGTCGAAGGATGAACTTAAGTGCTCAAAGGATCTCTCCATGGTGCACAACATTTATCGGGGTGTGCAAACGAGCGAGATTGTGGACCGTCTGGGGCAGTGCAACGGTAACGTGCTGGTCGTGGTAAATGTTTTGCTGGAGGAGATGTAGGCACCGGGTGGATAAAGTTGTCTGTTCGATGTAGAGATGACAAAGCATAAAATTATGCCGTAGTGCAGAGCCGCTATTCACAGCCAAGTGTCGAGGCAGCCCAGTAGAATTGGCAATCTCGATCGGAGCTTTTCGTTTCCGTGCATACCAGAAGCGCAATTGCAATGCCCCTCGCCATAGTAAGGACGGATCGGACGAACACGACAATACGGACGGCGAGTCCACGACGTCGTCATCGTCCATATCGCCAACCCGCTGAGCCAAAAAAATAAGCTTCGATGTATGATCGCACGCCTTTGAAGAGCAGCAAGAGTGTCCGCGTTGCCAGTGATGTCTAGACAGCCTCCACAGGCGGTGCAAGCGTAGTCTATTTTTTACATCTTAATTTAATAGCGCAATATTTTGGTCACACACTTCTCCTGATCCAATGTCGATGTGCTTTTTAATTAAGTGAGACACATTTTATGCATTACTTTACAACATGTGACAAATTAATAATATATGTAGTTTGATTGGGTGTTTAATTATCAAAGGGTGATCGAAGATAGCGGTGCTGGGTAATTTGGTAGCTTTTTATGTGTGCATTTACGTTACGAATTGTGGCAAATGATTAGTTTACACAGTTTAAGTGGAAGTGAACGCATCAAAGGGTGGATGTGTACCTGTCAATTTCCCCAAAAAAGGGCATGAAACACGACAGCTTTGCTAGTTCCACCCCGATTGCGCGGTACTAACCAGGTTCTAAAATCAATCATTATGTACGCTGTACAGCTTAGTAAAAGCCTCGTCGCAAAGCAATAGTGTACACGCTCGGTGTGATCCATTGCCTCCACTGCGCAACCTGCTACACAAATGAAAAAGCCTCTGTCTTTGCCAACAAAAACAAAATATCCCAGTCTGTCACTCCATCTTTTGCCCGCATATCTCCCTAAAACTTGAATCAGAAGTACCTATTGTTCAACTGCGTTTCGCGTTTCTGTTCCGAGCAAAAGTTTCACCATATCGTACACCTTATGAACTTAAAGGTAGTATCGTTTTGGCGCTAAGGTTAGTCAAGCTGGTATCTTGCAGCGGATGAGTCAGTAATTTATCTGCTACTTGTCGTACCCATTGCATCTAATAGCGTCCTTTCGATACCGCAGCTCTATCTTTTTATCATGAGCTTGCTGAAATCGACCGTTAGCCACATCATTGTGGAGTGCGTAATGTTCTGCAAAGACGATGTGGAGTAATGTGCTTCGTGGAATGATGACTAGCCATTGATTGGACTAGCGACGCGTACATTCATTTGATGACACACCATTATTCATCCATTGTAACGATGAAGCTGTAAGAATGACAGTTCTGACGAACTGCGCTCACATGTACTAACAATTTACGCGAGATGGAAAATACAGGAGTTTGACCCTGCTCTGCTGTTAACCTTTGTCAAATGCGGTTTGCTCTGTCGGTCCTGACATTATGACATTATTTGCGATATAGTAGCACAGCAATTTGTGTACAGTCAGCTTCATCAATATAACCTTCTGTTTGGCCACCTCCAATTTGGATCTTATAGAGTAGGGATGTTATTTCAGGGGATGTTATAAAGGGAGCTGACTGCACCATTCAAGACTGGCGTCCTCAAAATGCAGGCTGTCTCTTGGTGTGCCTGTAGTATTACGCAAGGCTTACAAATATGCAAGTCAGATCGCAATATGGGTTTTCTACATGTCGTGCTTCTTTTTTGAGGAGCTTTGCAACTAAAGTGACAGTATAATAAGTGACGACTTAGCTCAGCTAGCGCTACATGTAAATTTAGTAAAGTCATGTGGACGGATTTGGTACAATAGCAGCATTAGATTGGTGGCGCGTGCAGAGGGCTGTGAAGTATTAATCAGGCAATATAGCTACATCGAAGCACCATATGTGGAATTGATCTTAATAATGTGAGAACGATCGACAAGGGCGTGATGCGTCGGGCCAATACATTGCCGTGCGTGTATAAAAATTCAAGCATATATATGTCGTGCATATGATACGTTCAGTTACGAAGAATAGAAGGCGGTATTTTGTCAGCTCATGCAAAAGGTGAAACTGTTGGCGAGCATTCAAAAGTTCTTCGTGTTGTTAAAGAAGCGACTCGGCATGCAAACGGCAACCACAAGAACGTACGTGCAGACAATTAGTAATGCACAACGTAGCGATTAGTAATGCGCGACATAGCGATTACTAATACGCGACTACACGATTAGTAATGCGCGATACAGCGATTACGATTGTGTTGTTGAAAGAATCCAGTAGGCTTAGACTAGCAAAAGAGATTGCGACCTAAGGACCTAAATATATTCACTTTGCATTTTGCTTTCTACAACCCAAGTGCCTTTTCAACAGGTTATGAGCCCAAGCTCAGCTGACTCTGCCCCCGACGCCGACTTTGCCTTCAACATGGACGCTGCCACCGCCACCAACGCTCGCATCAACAAGATTGATGGTACGAACTTCCACACTTGGAAGTTCAAAATGCAGATGGTGCTGGAGGAGCGGGACCTTTGGGAAGTGACAAGCGGGGAGATCAAGCTGGAACACCTTGCCATTACGCTGGAGCAGTCAACGTTCAAGCGCAAGTCACGGAAGGCGCTCGCGATAATCTGTCTTGCGATGGAGGACTCGCAGCTGCCCCTGGTTCGGTCGGCAAGTGGAACGTACGATGCATGGTCGCGGCTGGAAGGCCACTTTGAGAAGAAGAGCTAAGCCAACAAGCTCTTTCTTCGTCGCCGTTTCTTCACGGCCAAGATGGAGGAAGGCGATGATGTGCTTTCGCACATTAACAAGATTAAGACGCTGGCGGAACAACTCGACGCGGTGGGTGCTCCGGTCAGCGAAGACGACCTGGTGATCACGCTTCTTGGAAGCTTAAGTGAGTCGTTTGCATTTCTCATTACTGCTTTGGAGTCAAGGGCCGACTCGCTGTCGTGGCAACTGGTGACATCCAGGCTGCTACATGAAGACATGAAGCGCAAGGATCAATACAGTGATGGGGTCGCTGCAGGTCAAGCGTTCATGATAGGTGAAAAGAAGCGTAGTGGACGGCCACTCAAGAAGACTGGCGCGTGCAACTACTGCGGCAAGATGGGTCATTGGATCGCGGAATGTACCTCGCGGATCCATGACAACGCGGACCGGCAGCGTCCGCAGCGTGCGAATGTGGCGCACAACCAAGATGAAAACTTGAACGATTTCCTGTTTGCAGCTGGATTGGAGAGCAACGACGACGACAGCGTCAAGAATCCAGCATGGCTCATAGACTCTGGTGCGACGCAGCACATGTCATTCTCAAAGCGGTTAATGACAAACTACAAGATCATCGATCCAGTAAACGTTCATCTCGCAGACGACGGGGTCGTGCAGGCGATTGGGACCCGCAACGTAGTGATGATGATGAAGACACCAAGCGGTGCCAAAAAGGGTGTGCTTACGAATGTGTGGCACATTCCAAAGCTTTCACGCAATCTGTTCTCAGTCGGCCGATTCACCAAGGATGTTGCTACAGTGACGTTTGATACGAGCGCCTGTTATGCAAATTTCAAGAACCAGAAGTGGAAGATCGGCGAGCGTGCCGGCAAAGGTCTCTTTAAACTATGCATGACACCTGTGCAAGTCGAGAGCGCGAGCATCGCAAGTGAATCCAACAAGCCTCAGATGAGCAAGTCATACTTGTGGCATCTGCGTCTTGGTCACATTGGCCATCGTGGACTCGGCGCGATCGTGAAGCAGAATCTCGGTGTCGGCATCGACATTACATCCGTGGGGAAGTGGGAGCTTTGCAACGGATGCGCGCTCGGAAAGCAGACGCGAGTGAGTTTTCAGTCAACTACACGTAAACCAGCCAAGGACCTGCTCGACGTCGTGCACTCCGATGTATGTGGACCAATGCAGACTTCGACATTTTCCAACAAGCGCTATTTTGTGACGTTCATCGACGACAAGTCGCGTTTTTGTACTGTGTACCTCATTCACAGCAAGTCTGAAGTGTTAGACAAATTCATGCAGTTCACCAAGTTTGCCGAGACTCAGACCGGTCGTCGCATCAAGATGCTCCGCAGCGACAACGGTGGAGAATATGTGTCCAACAAGTTCGCCGCGTTCTGTCGCAACAAAGGCATCATACAGCAATTTACGCCGCCGTACACCCCACAACTTAACGGAGTGGCGGAGCGAATAAACAGGACTCTAGTCGAGAGTGCTGGATACATGATTGAGCATGCGGGACTAAGCAAGCGCTACTGGGGCGAAGCAGTGTCAACGGCAGCGTTCCTACGCAATCGATGTCCAACGCAAGCAATTGGCCATGACAAGTCCCCGCACGAGGTATGGACGAAGACGAAGCCATTGCTGAAAAACCTGAAAGCCTTTGGATGTCACGCATATGTGCATGTGCCGAAAGAGAAGAGGTCGAAGCTTGATGCGCGATCGACGTTGTGCCGCTTCTTGGTCTACTCAGACCACGAAAAGACGTACCGGTTTGAAGAGATATCAAGCAGTCGCATTCTAGTGAGTCGCGACGCCCAATTCATGGAAGACATGTTCGACAGCGGGAAGTACATGCAACAAAGTGGCATCGACCCTATCGAGTATCATAACACTAATGAAGGCTTCAACGACCGTGACAACGGGGTTGCCAATGAATACATGGATGCGCCTATGCCCGAATCAACATCGATCCATGAGCGGCCACAATGGCAACAAATGCGGCGTTCAAGTCATCAACCGCAGTATATGCAGCCGCAGACAGACGAGTTTCTACCGGGGTCGAAAAGACATGTACGCACACAGTCACTAGAAGCTTTGTCAGAGCCACCAGTGGAAAAACGCTATGGACGCGGGGCTAGTACAAGTATGGTGCACACATCGTCAGTGCAAGGAACTGTGGTCACCACTCGAAGCCATGTCGGCGCTTCTTGCATCTATTGATGAAGAAGAAGAAGAAGAAGAACATGAAGACGACTGTGCTAACGTCGTGGATTCAGTGGGAGAAGTGCCGATGACATTCTCATCGGCTATGGAATCCAGCGACGCAAGAAAGTGGCGTGAAGCGTGCGAATCAGAGTTTCAGTCATTGTGCAAGAACAACACGTGGGAACTCGTGCCGTTACCAAGTGATCGCAAGGCTATCAGCAGCAAGTGGGTGTTCAAGGTGAAGGAGACTGTTGATAGACTCATCGAGCGATACAAAGCGCGCCTCGTGGCAAAAGGATTTTTGCAAAAGTACGGTGTGGACGTCGAGGAGACGTTCGCACCAGTGGCCAAGTTCGCGTCGATCCGGATCATTGTGAGCCTCGCCGCGCAGCACAACCTCGTACTTCACCAGATGGACGTCAAAACGGCGTTTCTTAACGGTATGCTTGAAGAAGAGATCTACATGAAGCAGCCTGACGGATTTGTTGATGCCAATCATCCTCACCATGTGTGCAAGCTCAAGCGTGCGTTGTACGGACTCAAGCAATCCCCTCGTATGTGGAACCAGACTATTGATGAGTTCATGCGCAATATTGGCTTCACCAAGTGCGAGATGGATCGCTGTGTCTACGCCAAGCGTGACGACAAGGTCATGATGTTTGTTGTCATATACGTCGACGACCTCATCCTTGCGTGCAACAACATGGACATCCTCGCAGCCACCAAACGTGCATTAAGCGAGCGATTCGAGATGTCCGATCTCGGTGAGCTTATGTATTGCCTCGGAATAGAAGTCGAGCGCGATAACAAGTCAGGTGATGTATCGATGAAACTGACTAAGTTCTTGCGATCGATTCTGATCAAGTTCGGTATGCAAGACTCTAAGCCTGTTAAGACACCGCAAGATCCCGGACTGAAGTTGACTAAGCGCATGTGCAAACATGGATGCAAGCACAACTACACCATGCAAGGAGTGCCATACCGAAGTGCCGTCGGAGCCTTGATGTACCTCATGGTAGGCACGCGTCCAGACCTCGCAGCTTCAGTGGGAGTGCTCAGCCAGTTTGCTGCTGACCCGTGTCCGACACACTGGCAAGCACTCAAGCGCGTGCTACAGTACCTGCAAGCGACTCCTACACTTGGCATTCGTTTTATTGGCGCTGGCAATGGCAAATTGCTTGGCTATTCCGATTCCGACTGGGCTGGAGATATTGATACTAGACGAAGTACCAGCGGCTACGTATTTGTGCTAAACAACGGCTGCATCAGCTGACTTAGCAAGAAACAGCGCAGCGTGGCACTCTCGTCTACCGGAGCAGAGTACATGGCACTGTCGGAGGCGACCCAAGAAGCGACGTGGCTCAAGACGTTCATGCGTGAGCTCGGCGAAGAAGCAGGCGATGACACTCTAACTATCTATGAAGACAATCAAGGTGCTATTGCGTTGGCCAAGAACCCAGAGTTCCACAAACGCACCAAGCACATCGACATTCGCTACCACTTCGTGCGAGAAAAGGTCAAAAAGAATCAAGTCGTGCTACAGTACTGTCCGACGCAAGATATGCTCGCTGACATCATGACCAAGGCAATCGCAGCGCCACAGTTTACCATCCTCCGTACTAAACTCGGCATCACTGTCGGTGTCGCTACCGAGTCGAGTGGGAGTGTTGTAAAAGAAGCGACTCGGCATGCAAACGACAACCACAAGAACGTACGTGCAGACAATTAGTAATGCACGACGTAGCGATTAGTAATGCGCGACATAGCGATTACTAATACGCGACTACACGATTAGTAATGCGCGACATAGCGATTACTGATACGCGACTGCACGATTAGTAATGCGCGATACAGCGATTACGATTGTGTTGTTGAAAGAATCCAGTAGGCTTAGACTAGCAAAAGAGATTGCGAACTAAGGACCTAAATATATTCACTTTGCATTTTGCTTTCTACAACCCAAGTGCCTTTTCAACACTTCGATAGTGTCATATGTACAATGCAGGCGTCATAATATAAGGTGGTATTAACAGCTTTAGTCCGCTTAACCTGTTGGTACCCGATCGCGCATTGACAAACTAGTGCGTAATGGCCAGCGAACACGTACACATCTAGACTGCGTAAGAATGTCTGATTGGAATAAGACGTAGGCTTGACCTTATGCGTGACCTATCCTCCAGTCCAATGTCTTCGTCTGCCGTGTACACAAGGATTCGTCTGTAGTAGCTCAACACGAGCTGATCGCTCCAGTGATTGAAATAAGGATCTGCCTTACACCGAGGCCAACATTTTCCAAATGTGATTTTTGTAGCTTATCTAGACTCTACGTGTAGACTCAGTAAAGCTGCGAAGTTGTTCTAGCAACCACGTCTGATCATAGTAGCGGGGGCTCATGATCCTCTGCTACCCGCTGCTATGGTTTCGCAAACACGTTATGGCGGTCGGCAATTTGTCCGACCATACTACAGGCGAGTTCGGACGGAGTCCAGCTGCTGCTCAGGTATGAATCGTCTATCATCATTACGCCACATACTCTGCGGGATTTTACGAGCTTCCTAGGAATTCTTTGGAGTGAAAGTACTTGGGTAAAAACAAAAGTATCTTTTTGAATCCTTGGTTCACACCTGTGCCACTTTAAGCATAATGGAATCTTTGCTGATTTTCGACTGACGACACCATTTGACTCAACAGGTGCCGTCATTGTAATTACTACCCGAGTTTTACGCGATCGAAGGATGTAAGGCAAGTCCATATCGTACCCAATCCTTTGAAGGCAGGTACAGAATAGACGAGCAATGCTCTTACAGGTTATTTCTGCCGAAAGACCAAATAGGTACCCGTGTTCTGGGATATTGATGAAAATTTGTTCCTTCACCTTGATCATTGGGGGTAGGGGTGGGAATACATCCGTAAATATACTGTTAAAACGAGTGGTGCTAGTTCATCACATCAGCGAAAGCCGCTAAAAAGTAATTGCTGGATGTTAAATCTGTCTATTGATACCGAAGCAGCTAGTATCAGGCTTCTCAATGTCAAATGTAGGCTTGATCTGGGTGGTGACTAAGTGCCCTGTACCTTGACTACGCCTCTCAGAAAGGACTATTGGGTAACACTCTGCTATAGTCTCTAGCCAAATGCATCTTCGCCTAAACAGAATTGTAGCCTCAATGATCGGTAGCAGCTTTATCGTGTATCTTCTTTCCTGACGTCCCGGTGTCGCCGTGGTTTACGCTTCCAGGAGATACAAAAATCCCCTTGATGCCGTGCCATGCAGCACTTGTCTTGGAACTTAGCCAGTGTAAGACAAAATCAGGGATAATAATGAAGAAAAAGTATCGCTCTTCGTCCGTAGCTGCAATGTCCAAGGCCTTCGGTAACTCCTCGGGTTCGCGGGAGTCTTGAGTGGTGGTGATCACAAGACCCGACTCCGTAACTTCGTTGGCATGCATACGGTTTTCTGCCACAGTGTTGGTGCTTAAACAAGCAACAATAGTGACCAGTAGGAGCAGAAGATAACCTTGGAAGCGCATGACGAAGTGGGTTCGCAAAACTCTGCGTACGTGTAACGGGGCACCCTGAAGCTTGTACTGGTGACAGTACAAGCTACTTATTCTGATAACAGAATAAGGCGGTGCCTCGTAACTTCACGTACACTCGTACGTGCAGAGGAAGACGGTAAGAAGAAGCGAGTACTTGGTTAGAGTAAAAAGTAGAACTGTATTTATAATAGTTAATGTCTGCAATAAATCACTATTTATCTTCATCTAACTATGTCTAAATACAAATGTGTAAATCAGTTATCTGCTCACCACTCATTGCGTGCGTCTGTCGTGGCGCGTCTTCGTTGGTTGATATAATGGCCTATATCAACCAATTAGGAACTACTTGGAAGTGCTACCGAATATTGTCCTTATGACAATATTCTGAGAATATAACTCTTATAGTTATATTCTATTAACAATTTCTTATAAATTGTTATGTAACGATTCACCCCGTTACATCACCCCCCTTAACCATCAGTCACTTTAGTGACTGATTGACTAAATGGATACTCGTCCCAAATCATTTGGGACGGGGTTTGCACTTGTTGGTCCGCGTCCACTTTCCAACATCTCATCGCATGGTAAACAAGCCCATGCGATGCGCGAGCAAGGCCGCCGAGAGCGCGTCTGCACGTCTCTGTGCGGACGCCGAAGCAGAAACTACAGCAACTGATGTCCCATCGGTTGCTGAATCGACTCAGCCTGTATCACCTGGTGATGCAGGCGCTGGTCATGAAGACACTCGTGTCTTCACAGAGTACGAGCTCGGTGTCTCGTACTCTCCTGATACGGATGACGGATCCGTATCGACGGCAATTGAATCCAAGCCGCCTGCCAAGCGTGGCATGGACGATGCTTTGCGTCGCAGCATCTTTGGTTCATCTGATGAATCAGATGAACCATCGCCGAAGCGAAGGCGCTCGAGGTCGCGAGACTCGGGCGCTAATAGTGGTGTCGGTTCTCCTATGGACACCACTTCACAGCGAGGTGCCAGTACTTCTGTCGGCACGTCGCAGGAAGAGCGGGACCGCAATGTGTTGCGTCTCGCTCCTGAGAAGAAGGCATGGATGCCTCCTAAATCAGTCATGGATCACTTGTCGGCGACGACGAGTGATCGGTATCGAACACGATTGTTCGATTCGTCAAGGATCCATCACCTTGACCCCAGCGCAAAAAACTATCGCGCTGAACATGAATTCTTCATCGATGCTTTCTTCAGACATCGATGGTACAGTGGGAATCACAAACGTGATAGTCCCTCACTACTTCAGGCGTGGAACGCCTACATCCATAACCTCGAGGATGTAGGTCGTGACGCTTGGAACGACAAACTTATCAAAGCTCGTGATAAGTTTGAAAAGCGAACCCCGACAGGTGCACGCTACAAGCTGCATCGTCTGTCAAGGGAGAAAGGATTACCCTGCCTCTCTTGGGGAGACTCGTGCCCATGTTGTGTGAACAACTCTGCACGAGCACCTAAGGAGGCTTACCTCCTTACCAGCCCGTGGTGGCGCGTACGTGTCTCTACTGAGATGTACGAAGGGATTGACAACCTGAAATCCCTTTACGACCGTGCCGGGAAGACTTTCTCCGGCGGTCCTTCTGCGGCACAGGATGTGTCGCGTCGTACTGCTCGACCAGACCCAGTACGTCAACCATCAATTGGGAGCGGGGCTCCCAAGAATCCCAGGACGGGGGATAGCCGCGCCACCGGACGAGGTAACTCGTCCGACGTCCGTTCACGTCGCGGTGGTTCAACAGCTGCTCAACTAGATAGCGCTGGCCACCGCGAGAGTCCTCTAATGGAGGTGGAGGAGGAGGAAAGACGCTCTCCACACGATCATGTGGATCGGTGTGTTCCCGAGAGCTTCTTTGATCGCGTAACGCAAGGGTTACGCGACGATCTCGAGCATGAGCGGAATAGGCGTCTCCAAATGGCGGACACTGCCTCGAAGCATCGAGCTGAGTTTGCCTTTGCTCAGCTTGAGAACGAGAGATCTCTGACATCTCTTCGTGACGAGCTAAGGGTAGCTCGTGGGATTGTTGATCGGTCTCGGGCTGAGATAACTGCTCTTCAGACCCTTGTTGATGCCCACCATCGGGAGCACAAGGCTCTCTGCGAGATGCTTGAGCGCAAGGGCGTTCTTCATCGGAAGAAGCAGCGTACTGATGGTACGGCTTAAGCCGACCAACGTAAAACGTGGGATGCGTTCGCATCTTACGTGGCAACTCGATCGTGTATGCATTGCCTAGGCGGTGTAATACACGAAATGGGCCGATGTACTTGGGTAGTAGTTTACTGCTACCCAAGTTAGTCACTACATGCTTTGGTAGATTAACCGTAGACAGTAGGACTAAGTAACCTTTATGAAATAAAAGAGTGTTTGCCCTTCCATTCTTGTCAGCGTTTTGCTTTTGATTATCCACCGCTTCGGCAATGGAGTCTTGCACAAAACGGACTACCGTTTCACGAGCCAGTATGAACTCATCTGATGACTCGTTAGCTTCAGTGTGCTGTGAGCGCACTGCAGCAACAACAACCTTTTCTTCAGTGAGGGCTTCCGCACTCTCACTGGGATCATTGTCTTCAGTGAGGGCTTCCGCACTCTCACTGGCATCATCTTCTTCGATATCGATGTTATCGATATCGGCATCAAACGCAATGACTTCTTCGTCAGAGCGTGATGAGCGTGAACCAAATCGGTTTTTGCTCGCGCGAGTCCCTCCCCCCTTAAACCAGAGTTACACTCTAGTAAGGTGGGTACACGCGGATGGCGCAAGCCATTCACGTAAAACGGTGTATGTGTCGTGGACGCATGCACCGAGTTGTTGATGGCAAACTCTACCATCGGCAAAAACTCACTCCAACTCTTAAAGGAGTGTACGTATCCTCGAAGTATCTCTTCAAGGACACGATTGGCACGTTCCGTCTGACCATCTGACTCTGGATGATCAGATGTTGACATCTTCAAGCGCGTTCCGAGTGATTTGAACACGGAACGCCAGAAATCAGCAGTGAATCGTGGATCTCTGTCTGATACGAGTTCACGGGGCAACCCATGAAGTCGGAAGATGGTGTCAATAAAGACACAAGCACAGCCACTTGCCGTGATTGTCTCTGGTACAGCCACAAGGTGTACCATTTTGCTGAATCTGTCAACAAATACGAGAATACCCGTATTCCCGCGTGCTTCTTTGGGTAACCCGAAGACGAAATCCATTGAGATGGATTCCCAGCACTCAGCCGGAACCGGTAGAGGCTGTAAAGGTGCACGCAGTGAAGGACTTGACTTCACTCGTTGGCAGACTTCGCATGCGCGAACATACTTTCGCACAAACTGATACTGGCGGGGCCAGTAAAAGTCTCGACTTACCGTGAGATATGTTTTCTCTCGGCCACGATGTCCTCCTATAGGAGCATCGTGATACTCGAACATGATCCGCAAACGCAGATCAGTATCATCTGGAATGACAACACGTGGTGTGTCACCAGAAACGGCTGTATAGTACAGTAAACCGTTACGAGTAGTGTATCGATCTGATGCAGATCGATACGCAGACGACAATCGTTTCAACGATTCTCGAGATGTTTGGGAGAGATGTGACAACAACTTCACTATCTCACCATCTTGGGCGTATGCCCGCCTCACATCATCATACAACGTTGTAGATGGAACTGAGGACGTCATAACCGCAACAGTGACTGTCTCACTGTTGGGTTTCGCGACTGTTTCAAAGTCGGGACGACGTGAGAGTGCATCAGCGACGACATTAAGTCGTCCTGGTTTGTACTCGACCGTAAAGTTGTATTCTGCAAAGAATGACAACCACCGCGCCATTCGTTGTGAAAAGTGCGGGCTGTTCACTGCCGTGCGTAAGGACGCATGGTCAGTGTAAACAACGAAGGGTCTATCTCCTAATAGATAGACTCTGAACTTCGCGAGTGCATACTTCATGGCAAGGAGTTCCTTGTCATGCACTGGATAGTTCCGCTCAGCTGGTTGCAGCTGACGCGACTGATAGCAGACGACGCGTTCAACGCCTTCAAGGTCGTACTGCATTAATGCACAGCCGATTGCGAAATCGCTGGCATCACAGACCACATGAAATGGCCTGTCCTGATCGGCTATTGCTAGGACTGGGGATTGTATCAAGCTCTGCTTGATACCCTCAAAGGAGCGTTGACATTCAGCGTTCCATAACCACCTCTCGTTCTTTTTCAACAAACGAGAGAGGTGTACAGTCATCTCGGCGTAATTGCGTGAATACTTATGCAAATACGCCGCTAGCCCAAGGAATTTTCGAAGACCTTTGACATCGACCGGCACAGGCCAGTCGGTGATCGCCTTGATCTTTTCGGGATCAGGACGTACACCGTTCTTACCAACGATGCACCCAAGAAGTGGTATTTCGCTTGCTGCAAATATACACTTCTTGAGGTTTGCATACAATTGATGCTTTCGCATGATTGTAAGAACTTGTCGGACGTGGTACTTGTGAACCTCAACGTCCGACTTTCCATCCATAGCTCGACTATGGATGAATACGTCATCGAAATAACTCGGCGCGAATTCTCGTACTGGCCTCAACAGATGTGATACACACCTGTTGAACGTGGCAGGGGCATTACTGAGCCCTTGTGGCATTACTAGCCATTCCCAGAGCATGCCGCTAGGCGTGCTAACTGCGGTATAGGGTATATCCCGATCCCGCATTAGGATTTGATAGAATCCATCCATCAAATCCATGGACGAAAAGATGGTACTCTTTGACATACCATCAATGATTACGTCCTTCCTCGGTATCGGCGTCTGAGCCGGTACCGTTGCAGCGTTCAATTTGTTAAACGCGTGCACTATCCGCCACCCTCCTGTTGCTTTTCGCACACAGAAGGTCGGAGAGCTATGTGGGGAAGTTGATTCCCTCACATGGCCCGCTGCTAAACGATCGGCAAAGAACTTGTCGATCGCAAGTACTTGTTCACGAGGCAGTGGCCACTGCTTCATGACACAGTACTTCGAGCCTGGTTTAAGCTCGACTTCGTGTCGAATACCTTTATCCTTCGGTAATTCGCACGGAACAGTTTCAGGGAATACATCCTTGAATTCAATCAAATCTTCATAGAGAGGATTTTCCTTGAGCGATTCCCATGATTGGGACTCATATCGCTCAATTCGTGTCTTTTCATCTAGGACACTCTCGTCCATAGATGAACTACTGAGAACTCTCTCGTTCTCAGTGAACACTGTTGCTGACCTTATGTCGGTTACATACTCGTCTTCAGCGACGAGTATGCAGATCTGCTTGACTTTGCCACTACGCAGATCACGCAAGAACCTTTTATGTTCGAGCGTTGGCAACTGAGTGATCTCCGAAGTTAACTTCGGAGGCGCAATCAGATCAAGTGTATAAGCGCCTACACATGATCCGTTATTGACTATGACATTCAATGTCTCTGTCATTTCCTGGGGACTTATTCCCTCAGGCTTCGAAGGACTTATTCCTTCGTCTTCCCGGGGACTTATTCCCGCGGGTTTCGGGGAACTTATTTCCGCCGTATTTGTAATCTTGGGACTTATTCTCTCTACTTCCTCTAGCTGGGGTTGCGCAACCACAGCGAGATCCTCTACGAAAGACTCTCCAGTCGATCTAGGATTATCGTTTCGCTTAACCTGAGCGATCGATTGTTTCTCTTCTAGATGTTCCCCTCTAGGGATACATCTTTGTCCCAGTCCACCCGACTTATTCGAGTGGTGGACCTTCGGCGCAGCCTGTGTTTCCTCACAGCCGCCGGAACTTTGCTCCGAAGTGTAACCGTTTGGTACACTATGGTTTTGTGCAGTCGTACTAACGACCGTACCACAAGTGAGGCCATCGCACTCACTCGTAGTACATCCACACGCTTGTGGACGCTCCAAAACGTTCATCAGATGGCCATCTGATGAACAAGCGGCAGGCATCGTTACTGTCCGATGTTGCCAGTTTACCCGTGGTTCGTACCTTCTGAGCCACGGTATTCCAAGGATGACATCAAATTTGTCATCCAAATCCAATACGATAAAGTCATCGTCGTATTGGGTATCTTCTAGCGTATAGTGAATCTTCACTATACGCTTCATGACGGTTACGGATGCGCCTGTCGCAAGACGTACCGTCATCCTCGTAGGAGGTGTGTCACATTCACTGAATTTAAAGTGACCATCTTCTAGCGATTGGCGTCGCACAAAATTGTTGGACGCCCCACAATCGACTAGAGCTCGAAGGGACAACTTATTCGTCACTTCGAGTTTCAAGGTAATGAGTGAGATCTCATTACCTAGAGCAGCAACGCACAATGTCTGTGTGTTGGGAGCAACCTTCATCAAGAGGCCTACAAATTCTCTTGACGTTGCTGGATCAGTAGGGTGCTCCGCACCTACTGATCCTGTCCGTTTTTTGACGGTCCATCCCGTTGTTGCGTCTTTGCACCAACTGCGGACCCTCGTCCCTGCCCCTTTCTCATGGGTGGACGGTCACTACGCCCAGTGTCGCGAGACACTGGACGAGGGGCACTACACTCGTAAGCGTAGTGTCCTGTCTTTTGACATCTGTTGCATCTCTGCAACTTCTTGTAGCCTGTAGAGCGAGCCTTCTCGCTCTCTACATAACAGAGTTCCATCGGCTCTGGACCTCCGTTGTCATATCGTCTCCGGTTGACGATATGATGTCGAGCTGGCGCGAGCCTGTCTCAGACTGAAGTCTTCCTGTTCCGCAATTGAAATGGCTTGTTCTAGTGAATCTAGTTCAAGCCGGAACAGGTGAGTCTTGACGGGACCATCCGCAAGACCCTGCATGAACACCGAAACCAACGTGTGTTCATCCACCGGATTGGAACTTATACAACTCGTGAGATGTCGTATATGTTGAGCGTAAGCGTGCACATCACGCTTACCCTGCTTGAGCTTCAAGAGTTCGGTTCGAGCTCTGAACTCAGCTCTAGGCGGTTCAAACGTTTGTCTGAGCCGCGACTTGAAGACTTCCAACGACCCAAACGCGTATGGGTCGTGCAGCTTGAGCCCCAGTGCCCAAGTCTTGGCACGTCCTGCCAGATTTGACTGGGCAAATGCAACTTGCATATCCCCGTCGTCGATGCGACGCGCCCTTATGGCGTCATCCAATTCGACGAACCATCTCAAGAGGGAGTCTTCTTCGACCCCCCTATACTTTGAGATGTCAATCTTCAAAGTCTCGGGCCGACGCGAGTGCATCGACCCGCCAGCAGCAGCCTGCTGCTGTCTCAACAGTTCAAACTGTTGAGCACCTTGTTCTCTCAACAACTCTGCTTGTTGAGAACCTTGTTGGTGAAGCAAGGCTACTTTCTAGCGTTCTGCGTCAAGTTCATTTTGAATGAACTTGGCGATAGTAGCATGTTGGGCATCTCTATTGAGAGCCTCTAGCATGACGCTAACAGTATGGATGCCCATGGTCGAACCCATTCGTTCAACCGCATCCCATTCGACATCGCTCAAATGGGAGTAGCCGTCACGCGTAGCGTGAAAGCTTTGGTCATCTTCATCATCCAACATATTCATGTTGGATGTGAACGCGGTCCTTGGACGGACTACGAAGTGCTACCAGGTGTAACGGGGCACCCTGAAGCTTGTACTGGTGACAGTACAAGCTACTTATTCTGATGACAGAATAAGGCGGTGCCTCGTAACTTCACGTACACTGGTACGTGAAGAGGAAGACGGTAAGAAGAAGCGAGTACTTGGTTAGAGTAAAAAGTAGAACTGTATTTATAATAGTTAATGTCTGCAATAAATCACTATTTATCTTCATCTAACTATGTCTAAATACAAATGTGTAAATCAGTTATCTGCTCACCACTCATTGCGTGCGTCTGTCGTGGCGCGTCTTCGTTGGTTGATATAATGGCCTATATCAACCAATTAGGAACTACTTGGAAGTGCTACCGAATATTGTCCTTATGACAATATTCTGAGAATATAACTCTTATAGTTATATTCTATTAACAATTTCTTATAAATTGTTATGTAACGATTCACCCCGTTACAGTACGTGACAAAACGAGAGTATGTGGGGTCTTGAGTGGTTGGCGACTGATTTGTAAATGGCGAAAGATCAGGTGTTGGCTGGTCCGGGCCCAGCGTCTCTAATTCAATGCACACTTCATAGGGGTGCTAATCTGTGAAGAAGGATCTCCCCGATCCCTTTAAAAGCCATCAAGCCAAACGGTGGGAGGCCGAAATTGTCTAACAAAGAGCAACTGGACTAGATGTTTATACAAAGAATGACGTAATTGTATCACTGTGTATGGTCTGGATGACACATAATAAACCAAGGGACGTTGTGGTGCACATGTTGCCAGTACTACTCATGGCGTATGCATGACTATGAGTACGTACCACTATACGGCTCTGACGTGCAGCATCTCAAGCGGAGTAGCGTCTCAAGCGGAGTAGCGTCTCCACTTTTGACTCGAACCTTTTATCGGAGAACATGTGTACTACCAGCCGCACTATGCTACGCTCGTCGTTTCATCCTGCAACTACATTGGGCATCACCATTTGGATACTTATAGTAGAAGCGTTGAGAGAAGGGTGTCGAGCAGTCCTAACTAAATGGTTTTGCGCTCTATGCGATCATACTGCTGTTGGTCGGTTTGCAAGGTATACAAGGTATAATTAGGTATACAGATTATATTGTACTGTACAGTGCCGTGAAGCTCTTAGCAAGCCTGTTTTTAATTTTCTGGCCCGCCCTTGGTCCCCGACAAGTTGCCAAAACAATTTGTCGATTAATATAGTGCGCGTAATGGTTTGCTCTTAAACACCTGACGCTCACACCATAATCAGCACGAGCCCAGTCGCTCTCTTTCTAATTCCGTACACTTGTTCCGATCAGAATCCCAAAGACAGCACTCCATTTGATTGTAAGTACATATTCGGTACTGCAAGCTTCTCATCGTCATAAATCTGCTTTGCAACATGTACAAGTCAAAACCTTGGCGAATTGATTGGCTAAAAAGTCTAACAACGAAATGATTGCCGGGCCTCAAAGATAAAGGCTCCGATGGTCTTACGAAACAAAATACAGGTAAACGTTTGTACGGCAAATTACGTTTTCGACCAATTGCTGTTGTTGCAACTAGTTTACACGGGATGTCGCTGTATAACGCTAAGAGGCGGTAAAGTAATCAATTTCTTAGTGTTTAATATAACGTTGTCTGAAGTGAAAATTACCAAAAAAGGTTTAGTGTAAAATTCCCCATTTACAACGAAAAGAAGGAACCCCCCACATTTATTAAAAGATTAAAAAATATCCAGATAATGAGAAATTAATGAGTGCCTCATGTAACGAAGTGCCTTTGTGACATGGTAGTTTACACAAGTTAGATATCAAGTACGAATATTATGTAAGGACAAACAGAACATTTTCACAAAATTGGATCAATGAGTAATATTGTGTTGTAAAAGGAATACACTACTCCTCGATTGACACAGATTAACGATGTCAACAAATTTGGCTGAGATATAGCAGGGGAACGCAATGAGTGGTGAGAAAATAGTTACAATACATGCTTGTATTTAAATATATAGATAAGTGAAGACTAAATACGATTTATTGACAGGAGAGTAATTATACTATGTACAGCTCTACTTTTACCACTTTTCTCATGGTAAAACCTTTCTCTGCACGAAAAATGTACGTGAAGTCTCGAGGCACCACCTTACTCTATGTTCAGTGTAACATATTTGTAAATGTGACTGTACAAGCGGCCGGTGTTCTGTCTCACCCCACGTCTTAGTGCACTCAAGAGATCGTGGTATAAATATGCCGATACGGTATTTGATGAATGACTTGACCGATTGTAATCACAATTTATGCGCAATATGCTAATACGCCTAACGTTGTTAATCAGATGAGCCTTTTGATTACGGTCCCGTGGATACCAATATCGACAAAATGAAATAATGCTATGTCAGCGTACTTGTGAAACCGTGATGCTTCTTGATCTCCACTTGTGCAGAGGTACTTAAAAGTGAAAGTAGAATATATCAGCACTTTGTCAAAGCTACAACATCACTGAACTGCACTTCAACTTGTTCATAGACTTGGCTGATGGCATTCGTCCTTCCTGCGCATCTCATACGGTGGTCCCACGTCGCAACCGTGTCGATTAGTCCCAAAAGTCAACTCGTCACCTCGCTTCCCCATCTGCCCGGTCGCATCATCTTGGCCTACATGTCACCTGGTCTGATCACTGGCCGATCAGGTGAGATTGTAACGTGATATATTCCTTATACTTTGAAACCTGCCAAACTTTTTATAGTTTTAATTACTTCTCCTCAATGTCAACATGTTTGACCTTAAAAATCAAATATCGCTCGCAACACTTCTATTCTTGGCGCCGGCAGTGCCTATGTTAGTGTGTCGGCCATCATGTACAGTAACTTTATAAACCTTGGCACTACAGTTCCGTCTTGTTTATGATGACAGATAAACTTAAATTGAATGTACGCATGCTTTAGCTCGTGGTGCTCTTCTCTGACTCGAGCTGCTCAATGAAGGCTAAAATTGCCTAATAAAAAAGTAGCAAAGGCTTGCGCACTTGCATTCTTAGCTCGTTCAATTTTTTTTTGGTGCCTAAAAGATCACGTCTGGCCTGCGTCCCTGAGATGGAATCATCTTCCATCGTACTTATCCAAACCCCTGATTGCTTCTTGCACAACCGTAGAACAACAGCAATATTTACAGATATCAGACATCCCGACACAGACTAACGGTCAGCCTTGTCGGCGACGACATTTACATCCCTCCAACACTCGATCCTCACGTTCTCTGACGTTGGCTCGACACCATTTAGATGCAGTTTCAAATCCGTCAAATCTATAAGTATCTTACGAGACGCTCTGCTGTCTATGAGTCCTTTCTTGTCAGCTTGTGGGTCTCTCGTGTGGCCTTGTGCAATATAAGTAAATTTCTGGACGCGTGTATCTTGCAATCTGTATTAAGCCTTCTACCAGCAATTAAAATCGAATTCACACTTGGCTCGCCCTATGCTCATCTTGCAGATAGATAGTTTAGATCTCCCATCCTTTTGAATACTATCGTCTCCAACAGATATTCGCATCCGTTTGCTAACACCATCCCGAACTCCTCCAGCAACAGGTCTATCGTGATTACTTAATCCAGAACCTATGCATTCGATTCGTCCTGTTAATTTTTAAACCTGGTAACTTATTCACGATACATAAGTCCTATAAAGACAATGAGCTTATATCAGCAAGAAATCGTCTTTGCGTTTTGCTCGGTGATTGTGAGTAACATGTCATCCTCATAGACACCGATCACTGTGCATTTCTCGCTTTTACACTGGAAGTTTAGGCACACGTCCGTCGCGCATTTCTTGAATTTGCCATGCCGCAGCTAGGTTTCACGAATTTTCTTCACAGCCGCCCAGCCATTTTATAATTCATTTAATATTTTTTCACAATGTTGCTAAATAACTTGAGGAATTTGCTCCAGATTTTTTCCGCTCTCCTTTTTTAGCATCATCCCCATCTGCACCCTTATGTAAACGCTCAGGTGATCCACTTTATCCGCCTTACCATATATGCTAGAAGGAAGGAGTCGTGCATGCAATGCATCGTTTTAAATCCAGCGACAGAGCGAGGAGTCAGAAGAAGTGTTGCCGTGATGCGAATAGGCGCCTAGAACAATTGTGTAGGGGTTGTTTTGTGAGCGCAGATGCATGCTGTGACGGGGCACCCTTTGTTTGGGGTGCCGCGAAACTTCACGTACACTCGTACGTGTAGATAAAGCTCATCTACTTAAACGACTCGTTTAAGTAAAGGTAAAAAGAGAACTGTATATGATATTGTTTAACATATCAATATAACTTAAATCTTTATCGAACTACATTAAACTACGTCGTTGTATGACGACAAACTGCTCACCACTCAATGCGCGCGTCTAGCGGCGATTGGTGGCAATCTATGGTTAATATGTCTTATATCATCATCAACCAATCTTGGAGCAGCGCATGAATATTATCCAAAAGGGGATAATTTTCCTTTAATATTATCCACCTCGGATAATTTTGGTAGATTGTCGTCACGCTAGACAAAATTCCTATTGACACCGTTTGGTGTCAATTTTATGTAACGGGCTACTCATTACGTCACCCCCTCCCTTAACCATCAATCACCCGTTGATTGAATAAGAATTTATTAGGACAGGG